ATTTTAGGGACCACGCTCGCTGCCTCCTGCACCTCAAAAATAATAAGACCTCCCCTAAAATAAGGACAAGTGCTGATTTCAGAGGTCAAAAGAAAATAAGATCCTGTCTTATTTTCAGGGAAACATAGTACTATTTTAACTATGTATTCATCATAGTAATATAATATAAATTTTCAAATATCTTTGTGGATTTTTTTTAAAAATAAAACAACAGCAACTGTTGCAGATTGAAAGATAGATACTCACCCTACTACCACAATTATAAAATCTAGTAAATTCCAGCCATTCCGGAGGTAAGCATTAGGATGAAAGAGAAGTCCATATGCTATTACTTTTAAAAATGCTTCCACTGTAAAAATTATGAGAAAGAGATATTCCACCCGTTCCTGCAGTGAAAAGAAAAAAACAAAACATGGAACATAGTGGTTAACTTTGGAAAATTACAGGAAATATTACATCATAGGAGAAAGAGAGAGCTACATTTCCAAGTCAAAACAATGACAGGACTATCATTTCCTGCTGTTCTTGCTAAATGCAAGCCAAATAATTTACATATAACTGTATAGGATTTTGGCTATCTGGAACATGGCAATCCTTCTTAATGCAATTCCTTCCACATATATTTAACTTCCACTCCCATAATCAATGGAGCCAGTTACAGTGAAACCACATTAAAGTCAAAATACAGTTATTTTAATTAGTTAATTTTAAATTTGCATAGTGAAACAAACGTATCATATGTACATCAGGGTCAAAATTCATGAAATAATGTTCTGGGAATCTACTTTGAGAGAGAAGGGAGAAATCATTTAGAAGTACATTGATGATCATCATTGTCGCCATCATCCTACCACATTCTCTCTTTTCTCTTGCACAAGCGTACAGTATATCTCACACACACATACTCAGAGAGTGGTATATATTCCCTAGTGCTTCTTCTACCATGGGCTTTCACTTTGGGTTCAAAATGAGTTCCACGTGAAATCAGGTTAATGGACCAAAATGCAATAAACCCCTTTATCAGTCAAGAAACGGGGAGGGGGGATTCTCCCAATCTCCAGGAGACAACCCCAAACCTGAATGAAAGCAAACCACATGCTATCAAGCCTGTTTGATTACATTTATGCCACATAAAGTCACATCCGTGACTTTTGTTTGCTGCAGAACTGCTGCTGACTTTAGTGTTCAAGCTATGGCTATAAAAATATGGATGGCCATTAGATGGTGTAAATGGTATAGAACAGTGATGGCTAACCTTTTTCTCCTCGCATGCCGGAATAGCACGCACATGCACGATAGCACATGCATGCCCATACCCACAATGCAATGTGCCCCGCCCCCTGAGCATGCACGCATGATCCCCCCTGTGCTCCCCACCCCCTGTGCATGTGTGTGACCCCCCCATGTGATCCCCCGCACATGAGTGCAACCCATTTTCAGGTCTCTTTCAGGCATGCTCCATTTTGGGCCTAGCAAGCTTCCCTGGGACAGAAAACCGGATCACATGGGGGGCACATGTGCACACACTGCACACACACCTCCGGCCCATTTTGGACATAGCAATCCTCCCTGAAACCTCTTGAAAATAAAAACAGGGTGCTTCTCCAGCCCCCTGTGCATGCACACATTACCCCTCTCCGCATGCACACGCAACCTCCCCGCCCACCACACATGCACACATGTCTCCCGCATGTGTAACAGAGACTTGAAAATCAACTGGCTGGTGGGAGGCAGGAACACATGTGTGGTGGAGCTGAGCTGGGCGATGGCTCGCGTGCCCACAGAGAAGGCTCCACCTGCCACCTGTGGCATGCGTGCCATAGGTTCGCCATCACGGGTATAGTGTTTCCTGTGTGAGAAGGGGGTTGGATTAGAAGACCCCCAAGGTCCTTTCCAACTCTGTTATTCTGTTCTGATAAACCATTAGAGATTTTTGTATTGCTTTGCTGCTTTTAGCAGTCATTTGAATGTTTGAAGCTATGATTGCCCTATTCAAATATTCAAATGGGACCATGAACAATGATCAATTGCTTCTGCTGATTGCCTGATAGCCGGGACAGGTTCCTAGAAATAGGATAGCTTCCTGTTTGGATGTGTGACAGTGGTGGGTTGCAGGCGGTACGGCCAGGTATGGGCGTACTGGAGCCTGCCCGGAGCACCAGGTACCGTTCCGTTTTGGTGCTCCGGAGGGCCCACCGGCCAGCCCGCGCTCTTTACCTGTCTTTAAAGTCTTTGACATTTACGCGCACGGCAGCTAGAGCATCGCGGAGGCTCGCGGAGGCATCGCTGGACAGTACAATGCATGCACGCACTGCACACGTCCATGTGGAGGATGCTGGGCCCGTTCCAACCATACCGGTTGGAACGGGATCCGGAACCCACCAGTGATGTGTGAGCACAGGAACATTCCCTCGAAACAACACTGCCACAGCAATTAATTCTAGGATACCTGGTGATCCTATTTCAGGAAAAAAAACAAACAGTGATGCTAAGTAAAAAATCCACAACATTAAGGGCAAAACTTTGGTTTATGCCGAGAGGTGCAAAGCAGATATTTCCAAATCTATCTGCTGTAGTCACTAAAGAAGCTGCCATTTACATAGGTTCTTAATTCTTAATAGGCTCTAACCCCTTAGGGAGAAGTAGGACAGCTGCTTACAGGAGAACAGCTGGCTCCTTGCTGATCATGCAGTTGTCCATATGATATCAACCTCAAAATACAGCAAAGTTTCACTGGGGTCAAATGTCAATCCAAGATCATGGCCTGTAATAAAAACTAAAAAAAAAAACAAAACCCCTCACAATTTACATTACTAGGAGTTTTTCAAGTTGTAATACAATTTTCAAATTATTTGGATTTTGTGATTGGCTATTAGTAAGTAAGTTAGTATCTATTCCCAGTTTAAGGGAAGATGTATGTTAGTCAATTGTGGTTGATAGATCAAAGCCTAATTTGAATTTCAGATGTTTAACTTATCAATTTAAGGAACCATAATTATTTCAAGAAGCTAGAGATAGGAAAATTGAGGTACCACGATCCTGGGCGGTTCTCTAAACCATTTTTTTTCCTCACTCAAATTCTCTTGGGTGTAAGCCTATGTGTCTGGAAGCCTATGTGTGTCTGCAGAGATGCTACCTAGTTATTTTGAGACGTGAGTTCTACAAAACTGCTAGAGAGGATCTAAAATAAGGACAGAACATTTGTATGCTGTTAATCTGGATTTTAATATTAAACGATCCCTGTATTTGTTCATGTCAGAATATAAAGCTTCTTTTGAAACCTATAACATTGCAATGGAAAAATCCGAATTCTCAGGACTATATTGTAAGTAACATTACAGGATTGTTTCAGGGAAATGATTTAAAGCCTGTAAACACAGAGAGAATATGCTTATTCTCTGAACTATCTCAATCGTACCTCATCTTTCTCTGCAAGGAAGCAGGTGAAATCTGTGCTTCTTCTGTTGCCCTGTCAAAGATACACTCTAGCCAGCAAACTACTTCCAGATATTAATGTTGTGGCCCGCTAGCAGCCAGCAGAGCTGGTAGCAGATTCAGACAGTGAGGAGCAGGTGTGGGTTCCTGCCTGCATTACTGCCGGTTTGGCGCACAAAACTTTCTACAATATCCTTCCCCTGCCAGGCTATGCCCACAGAACCGGTAGTAAACATGTTTGAGTCCCACCACTGGCTGTATGTCTAAGATTGTTTTTTGTTTATTATTTTTACAAACAACTCAAGGGAGCAAACATATCTACTACTCCTTCCTCTTCTCATTTTTTTCCCCATCACAACACCCCTGTGAGATGGGTTGGACTAAGAGGGAATGACTGGCCCCAAATCACCCCCGCTGGCTTTCATGGCTAAGGCAGGACTTGAACTCAGGATCTCCTGCTTTCTAGCCTAGTGCTTTAACCATTAGACCAAACAGGCTCATCAAGTTTCTTCCTTAGCAGCAAAATAAAAACTAATTGGAATAAGGCCCTGAACTAGCCAGATTGTTTGCCCAATCCTATGCTGTCAATGACTAAGGAAAATCAATTTTCATCATGTCTATAAATGTGCCTACTTAAATCTCTGAAGTTACAGCATACATGATGCAAAATAAATGTCTACAGTATTTCTAGGGATGAGTACAATATCAAGAGATCTATCACCAATCGCCCACATTTTAATGGTTTTTTAAAAGCTGGCAATCGAGCTGAATATGTTTGTTAGCATTTAAGATGCACTTATTTCTGAGATATCATCTTAAAATAAACTGAAAATGTGCAGTTGTGATGTATGGCAACTGTACGCCTGTAAAAGTGTTGGATGATTAAGTTAATACACAGGATTCAGCATTCCACTTTTCTAGTTCTAAGTAATAGATGCCTCTTTTTGTCATGTTTCTAATGTTTTTAATGTTTTCCAAGGCCATCAAACTTCCTGGAGTCCCAGATTGATGCTGTACCCCTGGATGCTGGCCTGTATACTAAAAGACTTATCTAATTCAACTCTTCTAACCAATCTTACCAAGGCTATGTTAGAATTCCCCCCCCCCTTTTTTTGCTCCTTATGTAATTAATAGCAATCATAGGGGGGGAAAAACTCCCATGAAATATTTATACAATATTCAGTCTAGGAGGATGAACAGATAAACTCCACTAAATGTGGCAATCCATAGGTGACACAGTACATCAAAATAAAATGCGGCAGCATTTGGAATCCTACAGTTTGTCTTGGCAGATTTGGAAGCTAATCAGAGTTTGGCCTGGTTAATCCTTCCTTGGAAGACCTTTAGGGAATATCAGCACTATATGCTAGATTGAGAATTTTTTTAAAATCCCGGAAGAGGCTGATGACGAACACAATGCTATTGCCAAGAAAAAAAATCTGAGTCGTCCATGAAATCACCACGTAGAAATCTGCAAAGCCAAATGTTCTGGGAAGGAACATTTTGGAGAATTCTAGAATGTTTTGTTCTCCCTTTGAACCATGACATTCCAGCTGAATGGGGATGGGTAGGTCCAGCAGTATTCAGGCCCCATTCTCCTCAGACTGAACATAAGGCAGCCTGGCTCAGAAACAATTTACATTTACCTTGTACCATTTTCCAATTTTAGCTGAATCTACAATTCTTCTAGATATACCTCCTCTCTCTCCTTGAACATAAAGATCTTCTTTCAATCTATTCATGCTATATTTGAATAACATGGAGCCTTGTTATTCCTAAATACCCTATTAACTACCCTACGTGTTAAAAGAAAGTATGGCATAGATTTTGTTCATAATTCCATTTCACTCCATACCGAACAGAAATTAGATTAGCTTCACAAACTGGTTC